GTTGTCGACTTCCTCAGTGGCCCCTTTGCCTCCACGAATCCATCAATAGCCACACTATCTTGATCCAGACCTGACGAATCGAAAACTTTCCTCGGCATCTTTGACAGGCGGCACTCTATCTTTTGCAGGCATTTCATTTCACTAATGACAATCTGATGGTCGTACACGTTTATGAAAATGGAAAATCTAATGAAGTGAGTTTTTACAGAAGAGACTAGCATCGAATGGGTCAAGGATCTTAGCTCTTCTCGTTTAGTTGGATGACCTACCAAACCTTAAGGGGATTTCCTGAAGTCTTAGTCATTTAAAAGCTATCATTAGTTTTCTACAGCAAACAATAAAAATTTCATGAGATCTATTAATAGAAATAATTGTTACTATCCTGGTATATATTTTATGATTGAAAAAGAAATTGTTTCAGGCCTTTGGCTGGATTCCAATTAGCACAGCTCTTGAATAAAATGTGGCACTGGCACACACACATTCGGTGAGTGTCCGCGGAGGCATTTCAGGAGCGCGGCCCTCGTAAATCGCCGAGGCCTGGAAACATTTGGAGAGACCAGCCCACAAAGCCATCGCCATGGCATCCCATCCCGATGCCTGGAAAAAGTATGCCAGCAACGATTGCCAGTAGTTATTGCTGCTGCTGCTGCTGCACAGAAGTTGTCATCGTCAATTAGTTTAAAGGCAGTATAAATTTATGTTAACAGCCAGCAAACATAATATCCCCAGAGAGCCAGAAAGCTGGAAGCAGGGCGAAAACGAAACGAAGCTATTTTTCCTTTCCAGCCTCAACGCCAGCTACCGTTTCTGCAACTGTTGCAAGTTGCTGCTGCTAATGTTGCTGCTGCTGCTGTGGCATTGTTTCGAGCCGCGCGATTTCGTGGCCGTTATAACAGGCCCAAAGAATCCGCATCCGAATCCGAATCCCAGTCCGTGGCGAACGTTATGCTTCAATGAAGTTGGAGCCCGGGGATCTGGGATGGGATCTGGGGTGCCCCGGAGAAGAAGGCCAATTGGGTCGAGGCTGGGCCTTTGATGTTGTCGCAGTTAGAATCTACAGCAGCAGCAGGAGCAGCAGCAGCAGCAACAGCCACACCAAGACAGCCTCTGCAATATTTAATGTAATCGATCGTGATGGGTTTGTTCTAATTTGCGGTGATTTTCTTTTTGGCGCTTGTTAAGAGCCACAGCGCAAGATCCCCGCTAGGTCCTTTGAAGTCTCTAAACGATTTAGTGTCGTATCTTTTATGGTATATCATAACAATTTATGAGCGTGTTTAATTAGTTGGTAACACAGGGATAAGAGTGGTCATAAAATGCCAGATAAAATGTAAGTTTGGTAAGTGGTTTGGTTTATTTTCGAAAGAAATTATAAAGAGGAGCTGGGATAAGTCTTTAGATTTTAAATTCTAAATAAAATAACATCACTTAACGGCACGAACTTTTTATTGATGATTTGACTATGATTTTAAAATGTTCTAATTACTAAATACTCTAAATACTTTTCTTAATTTGCTTGTTAATATCACAGCTGCATAGTTTTTTAATCTTGATAGTTAACTATCAAATGAACCATATTATTACAACATTTTTGTAAATCCACTTTGAACAGCTTGCTGGGAATTTATTTCTTCAACCCATAAACCAATTTATTATCTAATAATTTACTTTATTAAGTACTTAACTTGAGTATGTTTAATTATTTAATTTTACGCATGACATTCCAATTGGTAGAACCATTTCATCTGGTTCCTCATTCCTCTTTTCCTTTCGTATCATGGACTAATCAGACCTCATATTTCCCGCTCATACTTCGGAGCTGGAAAATTGTATAGAGAACTAGATGGTAATTGCAGGTGTGCAACATGGTAATGATGTCTTTCGCCAGCTGGTTAAAGTTGAGGGAAATGGATACCCCACTTAGGGGATTGACTTCCATCCGATCATGCTCATTATTGGTGGACTTGTATTGGTTCTCGATGACCACCTTATACTCCGGAATCATTGACTATGACCCATATTCTAAAACACTACTCAAACTATTAATTCAAAATTATAAATCTGGTAAATAAGAAGCTCTTTAAAGTTGTCAAACTTAACTTTCAAACATCAAGAGATTCCATTAATAAGAGGTTTTGGTAAAGATGAAATTTGATCAATCGCAGTTTTTGTATATTATATACATAGTTACGTTTATAGATCAATTTATCATTATCCCATCAATCAGCATTTTCATCTTAAACTTAGATTGCTTGTTCAGATCACCTGTTCGGTCGGCGGTTAAGTTAACCCCATTTGATCCGATGCCACTAAAGTCGGCTGACAACAATCGTCTGAATTAAGTAATTTCGATTCCGTCACGTCAGTCGACGGCAAGCTGAGTAGATAATCAAATAAAAAGGTTGTTAGCCGGGCCGAAAGGAAAGAAAATCGCCACCGGGATTGGAATTGGGATTGGGACTCTTTTGTGGTCGCTGTCGCTGTCGTTGTCCCTACAGGGGTCAGGGACAGGCAGCGAAAGGAAAAGCCGGGGCAAGAGCAACGGAAAAGCGGGGGAAATGCAAACAAATTGTATCGATGGTTTGCCAATGAAGTGAAAATCGTGATTCAAGAGTCAAACAGAGGCCTGTAATTTTCGCTAATTTCCACAACGTTTGCTTTTCCACAGCCTCCTCCTCCTCCTCCTCCATTTCCCCCTTGCCTTCGTCAACATTTTGTCGAATTGCTTCCCAAGTAGCAAAGCAATTATGCGAATTAACTGGCGAGGGGAAAATCGAATCGCGCAATTCCTATTGGGGAAAAGTTCAAATCCATTGCGACTCATTTAAAGTGACGTCACAATCGTTGCAATCTCAAAGGCACCAGAAACCACAAAAGGCAAGAGGTCTAGAAGGAAAAAACGCATTACAGATCCCACAATTCCCGGGAAAAACTCCATAACACAGCTATAGCTGAGATGAGGCGACGCATTCTGCATTTTAAGATCGATCCAAAGGGTTTCTGTTCTTGTTGCACGTCCCCAAGGGAACGTTAGTTGGCATATAAGGACGCGGACTGCATCTTGTGCCAGCTGCAGCAAACAGTTCATTCTCCTCTTTCCTTTTTTGTGGCTGCCATTCGGATGCGCCAGACTGCATGGAACCGAGATGTAATGAGATGTCGAGAATCTGTATCTCGCGGATGCGCCTTTGGCGTTCTGCTCGCGTCTTTGATTTTCCAGGAAAACTTCATGCCTGCAAAGGGAAAAAGCTTTATTTGCACTTGCGCATGGAATGGCTGCCATAACAAAATGGATTTTAATCGCGCTCTGTCCAACTGGCTCGTTGGTCTAGGGGTATGATTTCCGCTTAGGGTGCGGGAGGTCCCGGGTTCAAATCCCGGACGAGCCCAAGAGAAATTAAACTTTTTGTATTGTTATTTCTTTTATTTATTTTTAATTTTTAAATTAAATTTAGATATATTTTCATGAAAATTTAAAACAAAACCATTTAATTGAAGAGCTGAGGATTGTACTGAAAAATAAATAATAAATAATAAATTCCCTTTAAATATAAAAAGTTTTTAAACATCATAAAAAATACAAAATAGTACCTAACTTGGGCTCGTCCGGGATTTGAACCCGGGACCTCCCGCACCCTAAGCGGAAATCATACCCCTAGACCAACGAGCCGATTGATCGAGCCAGAAAAATAGTCGCTGATGTGAAACTGCAGTAACATGTTATCCAAAATATCCAACAATGCCTTATGCTTGCAATGCAAATCGTTGATAAAAAATAACTGGTTTGTGGCTATTTTTAAAGCAAGAGCCTTCTCTTGTTGCAACACCAGAAATATGGCTGGTAGCTCATGTAGACACTTGGACGGCCAGCTCGCAACTGGCTCGTTGGTCTAGGGGTATGATTTCCGCTTAGGGTGCGGGAGGTCCCGGGTTCAAATCCCGGACGAGCCCAAGTGAAAGAACTTTTTTCTCCTTTTTTTTTTCAAATTATAAACATTGCTTACATCATTTTTTATTTTTTGTTGCACAAATAACGACTTACGGGTAAATAATATTAACATTTCTTGTTTTGCCCCACTTATAAGGTAAGATTAAAATTGCATAAGATATTTGATTAATACCAATGTTTAACAAAATAAAAATATAATTGTATGATTTGTTGTTTCTCAATTGTATTTTCTTTATGTGTAATGCATTTACAAGTATGTAAGCAGAAAACAATTTCGATACAAGTTATACAAGCGAAAATAAAAACTGAAACAAATAAAAAAAGTTGCATTTGCAACTTAGACTTAATTTGCTTGCTTCAAAGAAGTCCGAACTAACAACTACGTAAACATAAATAAATGACACATTTTGTGGACATAGAGAATTAGGTAACCGTACAATAGAATAACATACGATACAATGATAGAATAGATGATAAATACATAAATTTGGCCCAAAATTCTTGCTTTGTTGCGCTACAGCTGCTTATGTTGCTGCTGCTGTTGCTGCTGCTGCTGCTGCTGCTGCTGTTGCTGCTGCTGCTGCTGCTGTTGCTGTTGCTGTTGCTGCTGCTGTTGCTGCTGTTGCTGCTGTTGCTGCTGCTGCTGCTGCTGCTGTTGCTGCTGTTGCTGCTGTTGCCGTGTGTGTGTGTTGGGGTTAGTTTTTCATTGCTCGACGTCCCTTCCAGTTTAACCCTGGAGGGGGTGAACAGTCGTTGTTAGTTTAACTCCGTCTCCACCCCAATTTCCTCGTGTGAAGCTCATAAGCCTTGCTCATCATCATTTACATCACCAACATCATCATCATCTTTAGATTAGGTTAGAGAATTGCTGTTATTTGCTGGATTTTGGTTGATTGGTTAATTAATATATTTTTAAATATTTATAATTATTTATTTTATTATTATTAGCACTAATTATTCTTTGGTTGTTCCACTGGTTTTGTTTGTTTGTTTGCTTGCTCTTGGTTATTGCATTTTATTAGCTTTTCATTTTTCCATGTTTCGATTTCATTTTTCGATTTTGTTCATTGTGCTTTTTCATTTGGGATTTGTTGTTGTTGCTGCTGAATGTTAATAACGGCAGCCGTTTTAAACAATTCCTTGTGACTGGGCTTATTTGGATAGGTTATTGGCGGCGCTGTTGTGGTTACTTCTGATGATGCTGGTGATGCCTGGTGAGCAGTGGATTTTCGCAAACTCTTGCCAAAGGTGGAGCTGCCTCTCAGACCTGCATGCAACGTATTCCCAAAAGCAAAGAAAAAGAAAGGAGAAAACAATCAGAAATTAGTTTGTCACGCATTTATCGCACTGAAAGCCAAACAAATGTTGGTTAAAGGCCAAAAACAGACATGTGTGTGTGTTTAACTTCGAGATGAGAATAAACCACCAGAAGGTGGTATGTACAGGAAAAGACAGAAACTCAGAGACAGTCGTGATGATGTGTAGAACATTTAAGTATATATAGGAAGAGAGAGTGTGCGCTGCCCCAGGAGGAAGAAAGAGTGGTTTGTGGATCGAAAATTGCTTTGCGTTTACCTTGGAAGCTCAAACGATTCTGATAGATGGCGAATATATCGAAGGGCCTGTAGCATGGCTCATAGCCAGCCTCGGGCCCATCGAGATCTTGGCCGGAACACCGATCAGAAGCGTTTGCGGCAGACACGGGGGAACAGTTTAGCATATGGGAGGGTATCACGAGGAGGCTTTGCTGCATTTTCACGGGTGGCGCTCGCGATGCGTCGATGGCGGGCACTGTATCTGTATCTGTTTCTGTATCTGTATCTGAATCGGGATCAGGATCGGGATTGGACTCTGTGTCGCTTGAGGGCGCCGATGCTGAGGCTGCTACGGTTGTGGTTCTTGTTGCTGTTTTACCCATTATTTGAGGTGCAGGCTTGGGTGGTTGTTTTGTAGTTTTGTAGTGTGTTGTGATTGTTTTTTGTTTGTTTTTGTTTTTCGTTTTTAGATAGTGTGGAAGATGGTAACAAAGTGGATTAGTTTGTTGTCTGCTCTTTGTAGTGATTAGTGTTAGTCACAATTTGTACAAATTCTTGGGTCTAGTGTTAAGAGAGGGATTTGCAGTGGTTTTATTGGTAGATTCTTACCTCACTGTCCTCACAATTATTGGCACCCTCTCGGGAGTCGGTAGTCAGTCCCTGGACAAAGTGGACATCACTCGCCGGGTCATCGGAGGAGGCCAAGTGAGCACGAAATTGCTGATTTCTTCAAGTAATACATAGAAAAGTTGTGTAAATTAGTTTCAAAGGATCTTATTATGATGCCCTACCTTAGTTCCAGTTGCTGCATTTGCTGAAAGTGTCTCAGTTTGCTGTTTGCCAGATGTAATTTCTCTTCCAGGGCGGCATTCTCCACACACTTAATGGAATACTTTTCAGAAAATGATAGAATTTCCAGTCGTAGCTCTTCGAGATCCTCCCTAAAATAGGTTAGATTGTCAAATATTTAGTTTGTATGTTCAAAGGTATTTACTACAACTTACTCCTTCAACTTGGCTCCATCACCCCTCATGTGCTCTCCCCTCTGAACCTGGCGAAGGAACTCCTGTTTGAAACGTGCCACCTCCCGTTGCACCTCACTCTGGTGTGCCTTACGCATGGCATCTAGAGCGGCCAAAGTGGCCTGTAAGTTTACAAAAACGGAAGTTAGCAATTTTTTATAAGTTGAACTGGATGTTGAGACTCTTACCTGAGTTTCCTCGGCCAAGGCGGTTTCCTTCTCGGCCAGCAAACGCTCAATTTCCAGCTTGTGTTTCTGCTCCAGGTCACAGGTGAGCCGCCGATGCGATGTCTCCATGGCACTCAAGCCCTTCTCGCAGAGAGTCTATAAAAAAGGGAAGAAGTTTAAGTTGTAATTATGATTCATAGACCATATTCAAAGGAATGTTGTTTGAATCACTAGACTTAATTTGAATTTAATTACTAAATACATACCCTTAGCTGCTCGATTTCGGTCTGGTAACGCTTCCGGAAGCTCTGCTCATCAGCTACATTGGTGTGCTCATTGTGGTAGACTTCTCTCAGGCACTCCAGTTGCTTTCCATGCTCCCGCTCCAGCAGCTCCAGACGTTTCTCCAGGCGTCGACAGCGTTCCTGTTGCCTGCCCAGCTCTTCGCTGAGCTCCTGGCGCTGTTGCAGGAGCAGCTCCTGCTCATGTTCCTGACTGGCACACTTCTCTAGAGCCTGGGCCAGGTCACTCTCCCGTTGCTCCAGCAGCTGCTCGCTCCTCTGCAGATCCGTCTCGGTTTGCTGCTGCAGGGCGGAGAGCTTCTCCACCCGCTGCCGCAGATCGCAGCACTTGTGGCACGCATCCTGAAGGCAGGTGAGCTCCATTTGCTCACTGACCATCACGCAGGTCTCTGCCAGAGCTCGTTCCAGTTGTCTGAGGCCGTCCTTGCGGTCATTGATGGGGGAGACAGAGCGACGTGACCTTTGGCCCGCCCGAATCTGTTGCAATTGGGAGAGACTCTGCTCCAGTCGCTCTTTGCTGCCCAGGAGTACGTGCTCCAGGCTATGCAAACGCTGCAGGAGGTGAGCATTCAACGGTGACTGGCTGCTGGACTCGCTGCTGGAGGATTCGGGAGGTGTGCCCTCCTTCCTGTCCACCGTTTCCTTTTGCAGTTCGCTCAGCTTGAGTTCCAGCTGCTCCTTTCCCTTCAGCGAGAGCGAGCGACGTCGCTCTGATTTGGCCAACTTTTGTTTGAGACCTCGCACCTGACGCTCGGAGCTGCTGTACTTTAGGGTCAGATCCTGGATCCTGGCAGCCATCAATTGCAGCTGGGCTCCATCCTCGTGCTGTCGCCGCTCCAGCTTTTGTTGCAAAGCGGCCTGGGCCAGCTCCAGAGCATCGTATTGGTTTTGGGACTGCTTCAGCTCTCGTTTCATGGCTCTGATCTCATTGACCGCCTTCTCGAAGCGAGATCTTAGCTCATTGTACTCCTCGGCAAGTGAGTCTCGTTGGAGGCAGTAGGGATCAATGTCGCTGATGGTGGTCAGGTCACTGAGGGAGTCCATTCGCTTAATTTTGTGACGTTGCAGGTTGCTCAGACCACCGCCGCTGTTGTCCTGAGCCTTGAGCTCCCTCAGACGCTTGTACAGGCCTTCGTTCTCCTCGATGCCCTGGGCCAGGCGATCCTCCAACTGCTTGATCTGGCACTGGCTCTCCGTCAGCTGCAGTCCCAGGTTGTGCATCAGATCCGAGGCACTCTGCTTCGCCAAACTCAGTTCGCTGTTCAGCTGCTGTTGCTGCTCCTGCAGGCGGGCGGTCAGCTGCTGCTCGGTTCTTTGGAGGGTGGCCAGGAGCTCTGACATGCGGGCCTCCCGCAGAGAGGCTTCTGCCCGAAGGGTCTCGCACTGCTGTTTCAGCTCCCGGCTCTCGGATGGCTGCAGTTCCTCTGGAACCACGAGCAGAGGCAGCTCATCACTGGCCACACTATCCACCGTACTGCGCCGAGAGCTGGGCGGTGAGCTGCGACTCCTCTTGTGCAAGCTGGCCAGGCTGCGATTGCGTAGACAACTCCTTAGTACAGGTGGCGAAGGTGACAATGGTGATCCCCAGTCCAAGCTGTCTCTTCGGCCACCCTCCGAGGCTGTTCTGTACTCTTCATCCGAAGAAAAGTGTGGACCAATTGGGGTTCCAGGAGTGACGGGACTGGAGGTTGGTTGCTGCAACTGAGCCTTGATAAAGTCCTGCTCAATGTCCGTTGGCTGGGGCGGAGATTCTAGGAGAGGCAATCCGGCAGCACTTCTTAGAACTGCTAGCCAACTGTTCCTAGAGCTTGGTGATAGACTGGCCAAGAGCAAGCGCTGTTTGTCCCAGGTTGTCAGCTGGAAGGCATGTTGCTTACTCGCTGATGGTTCAGCCACAACGCTGGTCAAACTATTCACATCCAGGACACCATCGAGAACTCCTCGCTCTTCGCACAAGGGATCTCGGTAGTAGAAGAGAGCTGCTCCGCTGAGGGTGAACCAGTGCTTGGACCACTCACCCGTGCGATTATCCTGCTTCATTAGCCAACCCTTTTTGGCATTCAGGGACTCCTCGGCGGTGGCCTTGACAGGAGGTTTGCCCTGACCCGAGGACACCTTACCACCTGCCTTGCCCACCGATCGCAGCTCATCTGTCTTGGCCATGTAGTTGACGCACAGTTCGTCCAGATTGCATCCACCATCGGGATCACCCCTCTCGTGCTGATAATGTTTCGGTGACTTTAGGTGCAACTGCAGCCTTCCAGTGGGCTTCGCCTTATCCCCCTGTTCCATAACTGTGGGAATCTTCTTGACTATGGCCGAAACAATCGCTGGCGTGGAATTGGCTGCCAGGGGCAGGGACTTTGGTCTTTCACTGGCCGCGCTTGGGGTCTTGTTGTTGACTTTGTTGGAGGACACCTGGAAGTCGGTCTCATCCCGTGAAGATTGATACTGGCTATGGTGGTTGAAGTGGTGCTGATGCTGATTGTTCAGTGCATTGTTAACCGCCGTGGACCATCGTTTGTTCTGCTGCTGGCTCAAGTTTGTGATTGTGTTGGCAATATCCTTGATTGTCTTCTCATCCCGACGAATGTCCTCGATCAGGAGGCAGGTGGTGGGCTGGGAAACTGAAAAGATAATACAAAGTAATACAAATTGTCATTAGAAAACTTCTCTAACCTCTTTAAGCGTTTTCTCCAATCAAATATTAATATGGCTATTATAATTTAGAACCTAAAACTACAAAGAGATCTTATAGAAAGATATTTATACAATCTACGCATTCCCATTCCCATTCTCATACAAGGCCCAACCTCTCTATTAAATATTGTGATATATGAGCAAGTTGGCAATTTCATTTGGTCTGTTGGCTGGAGAACTTCTACCTAAGCAAACCATATCAATGGCATTGACTGAAAATTAACTTAGACAGGGGATCGTGGAGGCTGTCGGAAGGAGAGAGAGCTCTGCCCCCAGCCCCTAACAATATTTATGCCCAGAAAGGGCCATAAAACGCTGCAAGAGAGCCAAGTTATGTGCGCGCAAATATAATAAAATTATTAAAACACACGGTAAGGGGATCCGAGGGATCGCGATAAGGCCCGTCCTGTTCGGTCAAAAGCGATCCTGAGAGCTCGTCGGAGTGCCATAATTTTATTAACACCCGAACAAGTCGAGGACAAACCATCGGAGACGAGAGCCAGCTTCCTTCGAGTTGTCCCATAAAATATGTGATTACAAAATATATATTTAGACGGGAGTGAGTCCCGCGACCTGTTCCAGACTGCCGCCACCTTTGTGTTTATTATGATTATGATACAAATTTCCGACTGGTCATAAAATCGAGCGAGCGGACCGGGACTGGGACGCAGACTGGAATTCAGGCTGCGATGGGATGGGATGGGATACCAAATCCCAGCCAGAGACTGGTGGAGGAGAGTGCACATCAATTCGTTCAGTTGAACAGGTTGTTCGCTTTTCGGCTGCTCAGCGGCGTTTATCTTGATTATTGAGCTGTTGCAAAAAGCGAAAGGAGGTGGTGCACCAGCAGCCTCTGAACTTCGCCTGGGCGAGCATCAGTAATAGCTTCAGTTTTAGCTTCAGCCTCATCTGCAGAGATCCGGCCACTCTCTGACTCTGTCAGAAACAGGGTCGGGGGGACTGACTGACTAACTGACTCACCGAGCAGGTTCAAGGTTACTGTGCTAACTGCGGAAGGGGAGGAGGAGGTTACTGGGCCTCGGATAGAGGGGGGAGAGATGACTTTAATTGGTCGACTTGTCGGTCCATCGGACAAAGAGTTAAAGCGACCAAAGTGGCCCCGGCAACGATTCCTCGATTATTATGGTTCAGGGGCTGGGACTATGTCAGCAATGGAATTTATAATGCTTATGATATTGCGCAAAAGCCGACTCAGAGACAGGGACACGCAGGACATTAAGTTTGCTTAGCTGTCTAGGGTTTTACGAGCTCAATGCTACAATTTAATGTTACCAAAAGAAATGATGAAATAAATAAAATCCTGTGTAGATTTACCTTTACTTTTAATTCTTTTGATTTTTCAGAGTTTACAGGTCATCACTTATTCGATGTTGTCCTCCCAATAAACCCTTTCCCACTTGCTGCTTTATTATCTTGGGCTCTTTGTCTCGTTTTTATATATATATTTATTCCTTTTTTTGTGGCCTGCCCTTGATGTGTTTTGCACCATTTAATATTTATTGTGGCTTTTACTACGAACTTTCAAGTTCAAGATCAAATCAAGCTGCCAGGCAGGGAGTCCGAGCAGGACGCGTAAGGTGCTAAGTGTAATTAAGTTGATAAAAACTGTGTTCGCAGATACATGGGGCTGGCAAGTGGCAAGTTGATGCCGCAGCTGATGCACAGAGCTCTATAATTATGGTTTCCTTGGCTGAGAAACCGCAAGGAAAACACAGACAATGTATGAGAAGGGATATGGAACGAAAGGATCTTTTCAGAATTGTCTCCTTTTCTCCATTCTTTAATTAACAGCATTTGATTAATTACGACCACAATTAACCGCTCTTAGAACAACCCACTCAATCACCAGATGCCTCTCCTCCCCGAACGTAATAAATAATCAAATTGCCAGTTGATTTACCTGCTCTGGTCTGCCTTTTGGGCGAACGAAAGCGAAAATTGCCTTTGGATTGGAATCGCTTCGTTTCTCCTGCCCTTGCCCTGGGGTACCCTCACACGATGACTTTGAAAAATTTCTAACTTGCCGTGCACAGACCCCACGATATACCCCCCTGATCCCTGATTATATAAAGGAAAGAAGAAAAATCCTGCCAGACCAGACCCATGTATGTTGCATAAACTTCGCTCACAAGTCGTTACACTTATGAATATTGATTGGTTATTGGCGGAGGCTGTATCCGCGGCTCCTCTAGCTCCTACTGCCAGTGGTGCTGGTGGTGCCAGTGGTGCCAGTGGTGGTGGTGCTCTCGAGCCTCGTAAATCGCACAACCTGCATCGTTAGCTGCTGGGACGCCTTCTTCTCTTATATATATATTTTTGTATTTTTTTGCCTGTCCTATGCTGTCATTTTGCATTTGCACAGAAGTTGTCCGGCCTCAATGAAGCTGGATCCACCGGGTACCGCCTCTGGACACGTTTGTTAAAATGGCCACAGAGGCCATGTGGGGCTCATAATGAGGTTCCTCAATAGAAAGATAATGAATTCAAAGGGAGAACTAATGAAACTCCCTATACAATTGGCAAGGGATGTAATTAGCGAGTGATATAGTGTAAAGGTTATGCACTAATAAAAGATTAAGATTGGTAGAGTCATGAAAATAGAGCTTTAAATAAAATCATTATTATTTACAGATCTCTTAGAAAGTCAAAGCCAGGTAAGTTTTTCTTAAGGTTTCTTTAATTAACGTCTTCAATTAAGCAACTTGAGCTATTAAACATCTAACCAGATTTTATGTAAAACTATAAACCTTATATTTAATCGAAATAAAGTTAATCTTCTGTAAACCCCTAGTCTTAATTTCCAGTGCAATTGATTCACAGATAGAGCAACTACTTTGTTGCAATCATAAGTAGTTACTTCTGCTCTTCTTCTGGGCAACTGCAATTTGTCAATGTAATACAATCTTGCATTTAATTCTTGGGCAACTTTTAGCAACTGGTTGGTTTGTAATGGGCCCTGTCTTGATGCTCTTATTGTTGGATGGGGACTTTTTCGGGCGTTTAATAGCCGGTTACTGTGCTACCTGAAAAGGGAGCTGCATTTCGTCACCTCTTCCGAGGGGCTTTTGCAATTTCTAAGCCTATCCACAGATCGGGGCCTTTCCGCGCTCCACTCTATGAGATTTATTTGCACTGTAATTATTCACTTTGCCGTAAAACTTAACCCATTACATGGAGCTATGTAGGTACCAGGCAGCCCATGCATGAGGGACTCCGACTGGAACTCCGACTGGGACTCATCTCCAGAGGGGCTTATCTTGTAGCACTGACTTGGTAAATATTTCAACTGGCCCCTGCCTGACATTGGACAGCCGTCGGCTATTAGGTGTAGACAGTTTATAATCTTTGTCGTTGTGCATTTTAAGTCTTTCGCTCCATCGCTCCATTCGTGGCCTAACGCCCATTCTGAAAGTGCCCGCTCCCTGCGCCCCGACCAATGAATTGCCTCATTTGCCGCACAATTTTCCTTATTGATGGAATATAATTAGTCTGTGTCAGCACTAGAAATGCCCTAGAGTCCTGGTAACTGATCTCACTGGACTCTCTAGGCCCATTACTCGGAAACTGTGCAATGCTAATCGAAAAAGGTGTCAAGTGTGAGTATGGACACTAGAGGCGAAATATTTCCAGGGAAATCTATACTTAAGAACTGTGTGTTTTCATTACAGTCTATTTAAATCAGTAGATATTCTATAGGTTTCTTTAAGTCTCTGAAGGTGCGTAGTTAATGCTGGCTTTCAGTTTTGTGGCCCCAACAATTTGAACTGGCTCACGTACTTATTTAACTGGCGATTTATCAACTGAATAATGCCATTTGATGTGGATGCTGAGTCTTGAATTTGTAACTATAAGCGGAGAAGAGCTCTCCAGTTCGTTGCTATGTTATATACCCCTTTGGATACATCGTTGATGGGCGCAGCAACGGATCTGAGGGCAGCAGACACACTATAATTTAAGCGTGAATATCATTTTTCCATGAACAAGTATCCTGCAGCAATGTATGTGAGAACATTCACAGTAACTGCAATTACCGACCCACCAACCAAACCAGCGCAGCGGACCAGACCCACTTGGGTCTGCTTGGGATCTGAAGAAAATTTATGAGGCCTACCATTATACGATCTTAAGTAGTGGAGGGGATTCTTCTCCCTACAAGCCCCACTGTTGCTGCTGCTTTTGCTGCACGTTGTGTTTGTGTGAATTCAAGGTTAATTTCGTGGCTGTGGCTTTAACTAGCTACACGCACTGCGACGATCCCCCATCTCCCAGCTCTCCACTGCCCTGAATATCCCTGTAATCCTTCAGTCTGCCCCTGTCTCTGTCTGTCCGAGGGTTGAGGTTGATAATTTTGATTGCTGCAAGCCATAAATGATCATAAAAATTATAGCAGCCGATACTAGCTTGGAGCTGAGCAGAGTCCAACACAATGGAAAAGGATGAAATGCACTGAATTCGATGAAAAATAATGCAAGGCTAAGGAATGGGTTTTGCAAGGTACATATATTTATCAAAAAGTAAAAGTCTGCTATCAGCTTTAACTAACATTCATTCAGAATCTATTATTGTTGATATTAATAAAGAACAAAATTGTAGATATTAAATTTATAAGCTGGATATAATAGGATTTCCATGTACTTATAATTATTGAAGCTAAGGAACTCCTTTTAATTTTATTAAAAAATTAATATAGTAATAATTTCGGAAATATTATTTATTAGAAACATCAATTCAAGCAGTTGTCGTAGAATCAATTACTCAATGTAAGGTTACCCTTTGTCTTTCAGATTTTCTTGGGTTTCGAATTTATATATTCTCTAAATATCATGGCAATGACCTTTTTACAAGGTCATTGGCTCCACTTGTTTGAAATATTTAAAGAATTAATTTAGTGGAATTTGAGTTTTCTTAATTAATTAAATCCAGAACTATTCCCACTCACCTCGATTTGTGATCTCATTGCCCGCATTTCGATTGTTTTCGTCCTGTCCGCTTATGCAGCCAGTTGTGCTGGCGGTACTCGATTTCCTGGGCAAATCCTCCTCATCATCCTCGACATCCTCGCCCGTCTCCACACCGTCGTCCTCTTCGTCATCATTGAGAGCAGTCTGCGTGGTGGCCAAAGCCGCAGAGCACGTCTTCGTGGAACTGGGTCCCAGATCCAGAGTGCTGAGCAGATTACCCGCCGACTGCGAGGACGTGAGCGTATCCTTGTGATAGGAGCTGTGTCGATTGCCCAGCTTCGTGGCGAGGGTCATGTCACTGCTGCCCCCCTGACGAAGGCTGCCCACAACCTGGCCACCTGGGAGGGTGGCACTGCGCTTGTGGCGTCCCTTTGACTTCGGAAAGGCCGCCAGGATATTGAGCCACCACTGCGACTCCTCCGAACTGGTGCCCTTCACAAAGGTCACGCGTTCCGGAGCAGCTATGGCTATTGAGTTGGGATGACCCGTCACCTCCACGGCACTGGTCACTTCCAGCACTTTGGTCATATCGATGCAGGCCTGCGGTATGGTTTCAGGCTGTTAAAAAAGGAAGAAGAAATTAATAAAAAATTTAAAAAATATCTTAAATTCAGGTTTCATAAGAGTTTAAAATTAGATAATAAGAAATTTCCCAAAAACAATCTAACACCTTGTAAGAAATATGTCATTAGTACTATTTGCATTACAAACATTACTCATTTCTCCAAGGAAATTTCTTGTTAAATTTTCTTTGTTACATCATATTTGATCATCATGTTCTCTCTTCAAACTCTTAACAAATATATAAATTCTCTGAGCAAGAGTATACAGATTTGAATCATCTTCCCTACTATCAAGAACAGAGCTTTCTTTAATTTAGTTTCGAACCCCGTAAAAGTACAAAAACCTTAAGTACACTTTGGCCAATAGATTAAATCATATTTTCCGCCTACCGATAAGAGGTAATCAACTATATATTTATATATTTATGTACATGAATAGTGAATAGTTTCAAAAGCAAGGTCATACTCGAGGCCTGTGTTTATTTTGAAGGCTGTTATCTGACTATTTACTAATACTATTTCAATTTTTAATGACCTTTTTATTATTATTTATATTATTGTTTGTTTACAAGACAGAACCCTTAAGCGTAAAAATGTATAAATAAAATACAAATACTATGAACACAACAAATTTATATATTTTTATTACTATATTATAATTACTATTAAACAGAATACTTACATAGTCATCAACCGAATACGTCAGCTCACCATCGTCATAGAGAACAAACCATCGTCTTTGCCAGCGCTGAAAATGAAATAAAAACAATGTATAAATTAAAAATTCGTTATTAAATGTCAAGAATAAATAGTTAGTTTTTTGTTTGCTTCAAAATCATTTCTTTAAGCAACAAATTTTTATTAATCATATGCATATATCGCCTGATCTCTATATAGTAAATTTTTATTGTCATCTGCAATTTGAAGTGGGAAAGGTGGGGCCCCGAAACTCAAAAGGGAGTATAGACATTGGGGTAAATAATGTTCAACGCCCCCAACAGAAATCATAATTCCATTATAATTCGTTCTTTCATAAATATTTTCTGCTGTTGTCATTCCCATGAAAGGTAACCAAGCTCCAAGCTCCAACTCCGAAACCGACGCCTTCGCATCGTCACTGATTCGGTGTGGATCTGGATGTGGATATGAATCTGAATCTGAATCTGGATCTGATTCTGATTGTTATTGTTAGTTTGCCAGAGTCATAACATAACGTGGCATGGCTAGAGCCGTGTAGGACTCAACGTGTGCCTGATATTTATGCAAATTACTAAAAGTCAAAGCAAATTAAGCTCAACCTTCACCGAAGATGACGTTGAAATCTGTGGGGCAGGCAGACGTGGCAACTGGCTAGTTGCTCGCACCTTCTCAAAGCTAAGGTTCCAATAATGGGACAATCGGGGGCGGGAGGTGGGACCGGTGAGGTGTGTCGAGTGTGTTATTTATAAGGCCTAGAAGAAGCCAACTAGCACACGAATAATCAAGACTCAGCACCATTTTCCGATTTGCGCTCCAGTTCTTGACTTATTTTTTCTTTTTTGCATTCCTCTTCTCACTGCGGTTTTTAACGATTGAATTCATAAATATTGAAGTGAGAGATCCCTAGATACTTCAAGTGGGAAATATTGAAAGGTGCAATAAAGTGAAAGATACAACATATTTCTTCAACTGAGAAAAGCTTAGTTCTTGTCATAGTTTAAAGTAACATAATTAAACATAACAAAAGAGTGTTTATCCCTCAATTAATATTATGCAAAGTCTCTGCTTTCTCATTTATTTATAGCAATTCTTATAACAATCTAATCTAGTAAACTTTTCTGCGGTTTGTTAGGAGAGACCCCAAAGTAAAGTCAAGCGTAAAGCGAAATCTGATCTTTGGAAAGATTTTCTGATTTGAATTACGTCAACGACTGTTCATTTTCACAATTTTCCCTGTGTGCTTGGATCGACATGAGTCAAATGGGTCAAACTGTGGAATAGTTGAGTAAATTAGATTACTTCTGCATCTAGTTGCAATGGAAACCATGCTCCAAATATGCACATAGAACGTGTCTATAGGGTTCCGTGCCCCAAACACTTCCCTGGAATTCCCATTTCTCACATTCGCCCCAGTACAGCCGAGGTAAGCAGCTTATACTACGTCGGCGTTTAGAAGCCCCAGTTTCATTTTAATAGACAAAGGCAGACACTCGCAGCGGAAAGACAATGGCAAAGGCTTAATTAGTCGGAGGAACGACATCTCAATGTTCGCCAGCGTCTACTTATGGTTCTCACTGTGTCTGTGTCTACAAGAGCTGGTGCAAATCGGTTTTGACAAGTACTCGTACGTCATTACCTCAGGAGAGGTTGAATGTCATCGGCAGCATGCCGTGGGGGCCAAGCCGATAAGGTTCTCTCCCTGGGCACCTTATAGAGTACATTGTAAGAAAAACATTGCAATTTCTTCATTAAATTGGGAAAAAGCCTTGATAGTAAAGGCATAAAAATATCGATGGTTGATATTGATATTAGGTTTATTTGATTCATTTCAGAAAAATTGACAAACAACTAGTTACAATTTAGTTAAAATATAATATTAACACGTAGGAAAGCTAAAATCAAATATGCTCTACAAATGTGATACCCTTGAATGCTCCGTTTTTTTTTTACATAAATAATAATTAATAACGTTACATTTGAATCAATTGGAAGTAAAACTAATTGGCTAAAAATTAGAGAAAAAGCTGACATAAAAGTAGCTCTCCTTAAGAAATGTTAATAAACTCCAACAAGAACAGAAGCTAGTTTTGGGAACCCGAAAATCCCATACCCTTGCAGTGAAAATCGATCATAACTAAGGCAAAAAGTCAGTAATTTTTAATCAAAAAACTGTTCTAAGCTAGTTTTTATTAGGTTAACAAATCTGCATACTAAAATAAAAATTTTTAATTTTTCTTGACATTTGTAAAATTTTAACGATGTAACCCCTTATGAAATTTAAAAAAAAAAAATGAGTAAAAATTTGTTTTCGAACGGACAAAGCTAAATCGGCTCGGCAGTTGATTCGGATCAAGAATATATATGATTTATGGGGTCAGAAATAACTTCTTCACTGCGTTTCTGGCTTTCACTAAAATTATAATACCCTGGAAGGCTAAATTAAGCCAGAAAACTTCAATTTGACTACATTGGTTGTAATGTTATGTTTATTTCAATCTTCGCTTATTTTGGCGGCCAATAAGCTTTTAAACTCTCTTAGCTGCAAAACCATTTTAAACTGAAATAAATGTCTAAATAAAAGTTACCATAATAATAAGAAAACTTCTATTAATAGCAAACAATCTTCAATGATAAGCTTAATACCCTGGCTACTTTTATATTCCCCAGTGCTCGTAGTTCGTAGTGATTTTGATGGAAAATTTCATTCTTTGAGTGTATCATGCCCTGCCTCCAAATAATTGAAAGACGTTGTCCGTCTGCTGATAAGGAATATATGTATGTACATATGTAATAGCTCAGACCACCCCAGGTCAGACCATATCAAATGAATGTCTGGAGGCGTGAATAGTCATACGATGTTGTTGTTATTGCCTCCCTCAGCCGTTGCCGGGGCAGCAGAGCAACCCGTTTTGATTAGTGGGTCACTTGGAAAATTAGCTATCGATTTGCAGGGAAAATTTTCATTAAAAGATGCTATCAGTAACTGAATTTTCCATAGCATGCATTATGCGTGTGGTCTATGAAGGTTGCGAGATAATGCATAATGTGATTATGAAGTAATTATGTCTATACATAATAAAAATAGATTTAATAAAGTCAAAAAATAGCAAAGTGAGGAATATGCGTATACGTGTGTATGTTTTTGATATTAGGAATCTCAGTTCTAGTCACAGAAAGTCGCTATGATTTATAAATACATATATTTTTGTATGTCTATTAATATTTATATATATATGTAGATCTAGTCCATAGCTAGGCAACACTTGAGGTGTGTGTGTGTTTCATTCTACTATATTAAATGGGTTAAAGAATTTTTTATGCAAATTAAATGCTTAATTCTTCCGCATACTTATCTCTTTCGCACTCATCACACGTAGCATCGTTTTGCGGGATCAACAAATTTAACCCACTAAAGACAATACAAATCAATTATATTATACTATATATTATATCTCATGAGAACAAATAAAAACTATTCAAATAAAAACAACAATTTAAGATAAGAGAAAATTATTTATCAGTTTTCAAAATGCCTTTTATAGTGATATCTGCAATCTTTCAAATGTTATTGAATAAATTGTTAAAAATTGTGAGTATTCAAAATAAACTGAGATATAGAAGAAGGAAACATGGCTCTATAGTTTAAAGATAAGATTTAGCCCACAACTAAATTATACAAAGTATGTTCTTACTATTTAAACATGGGTTAAGCTCTTTTAGTTGCACTTGCGGAGTCCATTTTATGGTCACTGGAAACCGCTATTCCAGATTCCAGAGTGGGGCTTGGTCGCAGCGCGTACCTGTGGACAAGCGGTCATGCTAATGAGCTGTTTTTGGGGGCGTGTTGTTCTTCTGGCTTTCCAGCTTTTCCAGATTGATTCTACGCCGCCTTCGACAAACGCCGCGCCCCATGAGGCACTCGATTCCGAGAGGTACACGTATGCAAATTAAGCTGAAGTTCAATTTGCGACAAAAGCAACAATACAGGCTACGGTTCTGCTGCCTGGCTTGACATTCACCCAAGGTTAAAGCTCTTACTATCCTCTCTGAGTGGGGTTTTGCACTGAGGAAAAAAATTACCAAGAAGTCACTTTGGGGGACTATAACATTTAGGTGCTAGAGTTAACTCTGACCCCATAAAGTTGAGTACTATTATTGAAAGCACCGCAAACGAGTCGATCTAGACATGTCTGGTCATATGGTAAATCTAAAGAAGATATAACTAAATAATTTAGTAAGTTTTCTGGTATTAATAGAATATAAAGTGTACTAACATTTTTACCATTTACACTACCCTTTTACATTTAAATCTAAATAATGGTCTATATATTTATAGATACATTTTTGGATGCATGTATAGATACATTTATAAGTATATTTATAGATACATTTATTAATACGTTTTTGGATACATTTATGACCACATTAAATGCTCTGCTGATCACTTTATTTATTCTTTCAGTGTACTTTATGGTGCTCTTTTTTTCTACTGGCGCTCGCCTTTTTATTTGAAGATCATTTGTTTACTTATTTCTACTGCATTTTTACATATTACAAATTATGGCAGCGCTGCTGCTGTTGGCGTCAGCGTAGCCGTCGACGTCGACTGCCACCCACAGACGGAAGAGTATTTAAGGCCAAGCTGCAGGCAAAGTCGGCGATTATTGTCTCAGTGCAGTGGTCAATTGCAGTTGTACAGACCGGCTAACGGAGAAGTGCATTTCTTGAAATTTACTCAATTAATCAAGTAAGTAAATTGAATGTAAAGTGTATTATTTGAGAAAAGGAAAGCAGTTTATTTATTTTTAGGCATTAGTGTCCTTACAGTAATACAATTAAATAGGCAGTTCGATAGTTTTATGCTAAGACTTGAGGGTTTTTATAGGGTAGATCCATTTTCAGTGCGTAATGTCTATAATTAGACTCTTTAACATAGACGGTTAACTTGCCTTGACGGACTTGGACTATCTCGATAGCACAGCGCGTGTAGACTAGCAGTAATTTTCCAAACTTTTCATAATTTATACATATATACAAGCGGAATGCTAATCTCTCGAAAGAGCTTGGCCGGCATACGATGCCAAACAAAAACAAACCGAAGTGTGCCGAAACCTAATCAAGAAATAAATAAATAAACCGAGAACCGGCGGCGGCAGTTCACGTAGCCCGATCACGTAATGCTAGATAATACGAAAGCTTAACGTTAGCAAAGCTTAGAGAAGCGGACTTGTCTTCCTATAAATACGGGAGGGAGCTCTGCTGGAAACCAAACAAGTAATCAAACCTTCTTTCCATCCAAAACAGATCGAAAGAGCGAGCCAAAGGAGTTCACCATGTCGACGACACTCACCAACAAGAACGTCATTTTCGTGGCCGGTCTGGGCGGCATTGGCCTGGACACCAGCAAGGAGCTGGTCAAGAGGGACCTGAAGGTAAGTACTAACCAAAAATTGATAGGGAAGAGAGCTACAGTAGTATCCTGTCTTCCTTCCAGAACCTAGTGATCCTGGATCGCATTGATAACCCGGCAGCCATTGCCGAACTGAAGGCAATCAATCCGAAGGTGACCATCACCTTCTACCCATACGATGTGACTGTGCCCATTGCCGAGACCACCAAGCTGCTGAAGACCATCTTTGCCAAGCTCAAGACTGTGGACATTTTGATCAATGGAGCTGGCATCCTGGATGATCATCAGATTGAGCGCACCATTGCCGTTAACTACACGGGTTTGGTCAACACCACGACGGCCATTCTGGACTTTTGGGATAAGCGTAAGGGCGGACCGGGTGGCATTATCTGCAACATTGGATCGGTGACGGGATTCAATGCCATCTACCAGGTGCCTGTGTACTCTGGAACCAAGGCCGCTGTGGTCAACTTTACCAGCTCCCTGGCGGTACGTACTTTTGCATAAGTTCGGGATCTGAGTTTAAGTACATTACCTATGCAATGTTTTATTTACAGAAACTGGCACCCATCACTGGTGTCACCGCTTACACTGTTAACCCCGGCATTACTCGCACCACCCTGGTGCACAAGTTCAACTCCTGGCTGGATGTGGAGCCCCAGGTGGCCGAGAAGCTGCTGGCCCATCCCACCCAACCCTCTCAGGCCTGTGCCGAGAACTTTGTCAAGGCCATTGAGCTGAACAAGAATGGTGCCATCTGGAAGCTGGATTTGGGCACTCTGGAGCCCATCCAATGGACCAAACACTGGGACTCTGGCATCTAAGCCCCACACCAAGTAACACTTTAGTTCATAAGGTTCCAGTGAACCACACGATATTCATGAATAGCAAAAAAGGCTGATCCGATGCACACTCACATCTAAACCCCTCAAAAGAATACGATAATAAAACTCATGAAAAGAAGAAAATTGAGAAATCCAAAACAAATGATAAGACTTGAAAATTAATTAAAAATAGATAAAAGGGTAGAGCGCTTTGCTCAGGAATGGTCACCATTTAGTCGTAAAACAGCAGTCGAGGAAAGCGGAAAAGAATGTTCGATTTGACGGGGAAGCATGTCTGTTATGTCGCGGACTGTGGCGGCATTGCACTGGAGACCAGCAAGGTTCTCATGACCAAGAACATAGCGGTGAGTGAGCGGGAAGCTGGGCTGGTTTTCCACCCAGATTTAAACTCGAAACTAGCTCTGTCGAAACTAATTAAGTTAATGAGTTTTTCATGTTTGTTTCTTGAGCTAGTTTTTAGTTTTTTTTTCTTCCTTTTCGGTGTTGTAATTAGGTTTATGTATCAGCCTGAATTAGATTTAGTTGAAGGATTAAGAACTTTCGCTTAAACGTTGTTTTTCCCCCACCAGAAACTGGCCATATTGCAGAGCACTGAGAATCCCCAGGCCATTGCCCAGCTTCAGGCCATCAAGCCGAGCACTCAGATATTTTTCTGGACCTACGATGTTACCATGGCCAGGGAGGAAATGAAAAAGTATTTCGATGAGGTGATGGTGCAAATGGACTACATCGATGTCTTGATCAACGGAGCCACTTTGTGCGATGAGAATGATATTGATGCCACCATTCATACGAATTTAACGGGAATGATGAACACAGTGGCCACTGTTTTGCCCTATATGGATAGAAAAATGGGTGGATCTGGTGGTTTGATAGTGAATGTTACATCAGTTATTGGCCTGGATCCATCTCCAGTATTTTGTGCCTACAGTGCCTCAAAATTCGGTGTCATTGGTTTCACCAGAAGTCTGGCGGTAAGAGGAATCACCTACTTCACATATATTATTTAGAGTGTCCTTATTATTCCCCGCAGGACCCTTTGTACTATTCCCAAAATGGTGTCGCTGTCATGGCTGTTTGCTGTGGCCCCACCAGAGTTTTTGTGGACCGCGAACTGAAGGCCTTCCTGGAGTATGGCCAATCCTTTGCCGATCGCCTGCGCCACGCCCCCTGCCAGTCGACTGCCATTTGTGGCCAAAACATTGTCAATGCCATCGAGAGATCCAAGAATGGTCGAATATGGATTGCCGATAAGGGCGGATTGGAGTTGGTCAAGTTGCATTGGTACTGGCATATGGCCGATCAATTTGTTAACTATATGCAAAGCAATGACGATGAAGAGCACGATTAATTGCGAGTAAAATAAAGCAACAAGTGTCACCAAAAGTAGACTTTTTTATTTTCTGTACGAATATAGATTTGGATCCGTATTCATATGGGGGAGGTGTGAATAAATAATGACTAATATATGTGTGCCTAAAAGTATGCCTTATGGGGCCCATCCACAGTAGAACATGTTGGCCGAGCCGCTCGTCGAGCAAAAATTTCATTTGCCACCAACTAGTGGCAACATGCTCGCAAACATCATTTGCTGGCAAATCTTTGAGAAGCAAACATGGCAACGGACAACGACAGCGCCACTTTTTTTTGCACTTTTGGCAATTAATGTTTGCGCCTTTGGCTGGAAAATAAAGTTTTCAATTAAAATAAATAAATTTTTTTGACATCTTAGAGCTGCTCTATTAGGTGTTGTCGCTTCAAACGTTTGCTTCAAATGATGTTCGTGCCAACGTTGCCATCCATTGTCGAGCATTTTGTTGCGAACACAAGCAAGATAGAATGATTTCTATTTTGTTCGAGCGGCTCGACGAACACGAAATTTGTACGCGAGCACTAGCACTAACGATGAAAATTTCGTCGAGCTCAACATGCTCGGCCAACATGTTCGACTGTGGATGGGCCCCATTAAGCTGGTGACATAATTAGATTAGAAATTTGTCGTTGGGAACTTTTTAAATATTTTTTATGGGTATGTGTTCATGGATAGTTAATTTGACAAAGTAAACAAAGAGAAAAGCAACAAGTATTACATTTTAGACACCTCAAAATGCTTGCAACTACAACTTAATAAATCAAAGGGATCATAGAAACTGGTTTATTAATATTTATTTTAGTTCTAAGTGGTTAAATATTTCCGAAGTTATTTAAGTTATCGAAAGTATTTTAGAGGCATATTTCTTTATATTAATTATTCAAGCGTTCTACTTATTTTTGTAAGTTTTTTTTATCTTGATCTCAAATGGAAAGTCAAGGGCTATGCATGCCACAGATTTCAAATTTTGTGCACAATCATAGTACTTCCTCTTAAGGCAACAGAATTAGGGATGTAAATATCTATCAATAGGAAAAAACTGATATCTTGCTCAATATCATATCAAATATATAGTAAGTTCTTATATATCAAATATAGCTAAGTTGTAGATGTCATCGGAAATTAAATTAAGACGAATTAAATTACATTTATTTGTAGTTTTCCCATCCTATTGGTATTTTATAACAATCCTTTTATAGATTTATCACACAGAGTGTATATCGAAACGTTAAGGTATCGGTTTTCGCATCAAATATCGAACCAGTATCGATATATCGAAATTTTCTATCATCTCTAACCCAAACTATGCGAAATGCAGTGCGAAATTTTACCAGAGCAATGCCGTGCATTGAACTTTGGCACATTTCCAAACACCGATGGAAACCCAATCGAGCGACCGAGAATTGAATGTGAAAACAAACAAATCTGCCGACACGTTGGACGGGAATGGATATATATACATATATACCTAGGTTGGGGGAGTGGATAGAGATGGCCTGGTAGGGTGAACTGTGTGGCACACACCGCCTTGGCATACTTCCAATCTGAGTGCGTTGTCGCTGTCTTCCTTCTCGGTCGGGGCCACCACTTGGCTCGTAAAAATCAATAGCTAACAGACCAAAAAAGAGCCACAATAGCAAACGGACATTGAGGACCCGACGCAACGGCATTGCATCCCATGGAATGCAATCGTTGTTGGTTGGCTTCGACTAGGCCATATCAAAGCATTTTCTTTTTTCCAGAAACCACTGCTGCTGTCCACTTCCGTTTGCACAGTTTGCTTTCCTTTCTGCAGCAGCGCAACTTAATTCCCAAAATCGATTAGTCACTGTAAGCGAACCATGCAATTGTCCAGCATTTTTCATTTATAACTCCTTTTTGTTCGTTAAATTTTTCTGGTTTCTTCCTATATATTTTTTATTCGGTTTTTTTTTTGGCGTACGCTTGATTAATTTGGCCTGGCTGCCGGGAGCCAAGAAGGAGAGAGAGAGAGGAAGGGGGGTACATCTAAAAATGCAGGAAGTAATCGATTGGTTAGGGCGCAATGGCCATAATGGGAGGGCACATGAGGCTCAAAAATCGGGAATAGGTGAAAAGAGAGCTCTTTTGTTTATGATAAAGGTGGATAAATCATAATAGGTTCAAGAATATATGTCTTAGCTTAGTTCTTAATGGATTTTAACTTGAAGAAACCTCATTACATAAACCTATCTATCCATATTTACAAGAGTATTAAAGCTTCGGCTAGTTTGCAATATTTTTTTTACTATGCTATGTATTGGGCAAAAATCATGCAACCGACCGACCGGTTGCCGGCAGTAGGTGGAGATTAATCAAAATAACAAAAAAAAGAGTGTACTGAAAAATGGGTGGAAAAAACTGATGCTTTTTAAATGGCAATACGTGCCTGGTCACCAGGTATTTTACTAATTAACCTGACGGATGCACGCCACAGCCAAGAAGATGATGATTGTGATTATGCAACTACATGAAGCGGCACTTTTAGTTTAAGCGATAAGATGTACAGTAAATCACATCCAAAAGACTTAATAATAGTAATATTTAGCAGTAAGAAGCAGAACGTTCTTCCTCAATAGATAAAGATGTGATAGATCATTGCATATTTCTCTCTTGAGACTCCAACTTTCACCATATTTGAGTCACATTTGTTCTTTTTATGTTAATTCCTACAACTCTCCATTGATTTCTGTATAGATCCCCAGGCAAAAGTTCACCGATCTCGCGATACATTTCATAAGATACATTTTCGTGTGGCAACGTTACCGAAAATAAACATGGGAACACATGTTTGGATACGAGAGCAAATACCCGCAGAATCGACTGGCTTCAATACCCATTTGCTGGGGAATAAGACTCCGGCCTGAGGGGAGTACCAAAAGCCACCTTTGTGGAGTTCGCAGGGGAAGGAACATGGAGATTATCTATGGCTCGCACATGGCACCGGGCGGTCGGTCAGACAAGATTATATGCGAAATGCGAAGCCAAATAACAAGTGTTACTCAAGGCAGCAAATTAATAGCCAACATTTTTCCAAACTAATCACGACAAGTGCTCCGGGTTTGGGACTGACACAGAAACTTGAACGGAAAACTGGCCAACTCGTTGGCTTAGAACTGGCAAGACAGATAGATCAGAGCGGAGCTTAAATGCCAGAAAATGCAGTAAGCGAAAAATAAACATGAAACATTGAAGAAAAATGAGGGGCAAAAACGTTTCTTGCCCTCCGGGTGTTGCCGCTTCGAATCGCCAAGCCAGACCCCTCCAAGACCCTCCATTCAGCTGGCGACCGTGGACAATTCCACACTCGGTGGGAGTGGAGCAAGAGCAGGAGCAAAAGTTGAGCTCCAGATCCCAGATTCCGACACGTGCCCGGCGACAATGGGGCCCGACAAAATGCCCATGACAATTGTTGGTATATAAATAGAAAACATTTCGCAAATTTGCGTCCATTGACACTTTTGAATGATACAGATCTCCGCTGGTCCCGTTCCGGTGACGAAGTCATCTCATTTAGCTTGGGGGGTCTCATGTTGGCCCACGCAAGAGCTGGCAAAACCCGACGACCCTTTTCCCCTTTTCCGCAAAGTGAACCCCCGTTCTTGAGATACCAATTTCAGCCTTGAGGCAGCAAACCACTTTGTAGGTACAAGAGACGAATGTGAAAAGATGTCAATGCACTGAGAGAAAGCGGTTGGAGGTAAAGCTTTTCGAGAATTTAAAATTTT